GGGCAGACGAACGAGGGACTGAAAATGTCCAGTGTACCACAGCCAGGGAGCGCCTCCCTGTTACACTGTGTGCTCTTTCCTCGCTCCCTGTCCCCAGCCTCAAATGGCCTCCTGGCCCCCTGCCCTGTGCTGTAATGCAGCACCTTTGGGTCCATTTCCACATCTTCCCCCAAGCTGTGTGATCCTGGAAACGTCATGTTCCTTCTGAGTCTACATCATCTGCTAAAACCTCACCTCCTGAGACTGTCATAAAGATTACATGGGATGATGTGTAAGAAACACCCTGTCCTGCTCAGGGACCAGCGAAAGTCCTCTCTAACCCATAGATCTCTCAACAACTACCATGTGTCCTGCGGACTCTTAAACCGTCGGCATCCAGTGGTTTCGAGACGCAAGAGAAGTGGCTGGAAGTCTCTGGAGAAATACCAGATTTCCAGCCCCGTTGATTCCAATTCACGTGGAGGGGATTGCTTTAGGTGCCCCAGACGATTCTAAGGCACCCCCACTGGCGTCTAGCACATGCTCAGCTCTTACTCGACTAGTTCACCGGTTTCGTGGGTTAAAGACTCAGGTGTGAGTCCTCGTAACCTTCGGGAGGAGGAAGGGAGGCTCTCCGTCCCCAGCCACGCCACCACTGCATGGACGGTGGCGTAGTGCCCACCTGTGTCTGCCGTACGTGGGTGTCCAGACTCCGTTTCACACTCTGCTAACACAGATGCGAACGGTTTTATGTACCACGTTTAGCCTTTGTGATGGCAAATACGACACACAGCCACTAGAGATGAAGAACGTTTCACAAGTAGCCACGGCCAGAGTAATGAACATGTCTGTTTATTCACTTACAAACCTGGTAGCGTGAAAAGAACATCTTAATTAAAATCCGGCTTGATAGAGATACAGGGCACGATGTCACTACCGCCCTCGTGGACTCAGAAATGCTGGTCGCTCTGGGTGCCTAAGATCAGCAGGGCTCCCGAGAAAGATCCCATCCCCTAAAGTGCCTCAAACGTCCTCAGGACCTCGTGCTGTCGCCACCCAGGGACGGGAAGGGGCTGAGCGAACCGCACACTTACAGAGGTAAATAAGGAGTTACGGCCCTGTACAATCATTACAATGGCATTTCCCAGATCCCAAGAGTAGACCCGAGAGTGAAGGGAGAACTGTGCTGCTAGAAACCCTTTGATTGAAAGAAGCTGCAGAAAGGCGTTTGATCTGGGGACGGGAGACTCTGGGAGGAGGATGGGAACCCTCAGAATGAGTGAAGTCACTTTCTTTTTCTCTTTCCTGTCTACACCCACCATGGGACATTCTGGGATAAGGCACGAGAACCCGGCTTGGAGAAGAGAGGTGCTCCCAGGTGCAGTTCTTGGTGTGCAAAGGATCGGAAGATCCTGGCAGAGATCTTTTGAAAGAGATGCCAGAAATACCCTCCCCACCCCTTGTACTTTCTGTCCTTGAGAGACAGAAAACCAACAAGGCAGAAGGTTTGCAAAGGTGAATCCAAACATCAGGCGAATAAAGTCCTACCGGGACATGTGTGATTGTGCATGGGATGCTCTTCTCTGTGAAGTATCGTACAGGAAACCACTCCGACCTTTCACGGACAAGGAGTAGCCAAAAAAGATTAAAATATCCAGTCCTCTTGAAGAATAGTGCAGTTGGTGGGTATGAGAGCCTACAAAAAGTACAAGAATCAACGTTGACAAGAAAAGGAGGCTTAGGACTTGGCAGAGAGAAGAACAGTGGTGGTTGAGGGAAGCAGGGAGAAATCTGTACAGCTTGTTCAGCACTCACTGCTTGTCCACAGAACGGGACGAACACCTTAATGATCACTTTACTTCACCCACCGTTTCCTACAGACAGCGAGGTTTCTCCCAAATTCATAAGCCTGCAAATGGCATAGGTCAAGCTGCTCATCAGGGAAGCCTGTGAACGTTTTCTCCCCAAATTGCCACGTCTGGGCATCAGGAAAAGACTTCCCCAGGTATACACCTCAGATGAGTTCGTCTATCTCCTTTTTTTTAAGATTTTTTTTATTTAAATGACAGAGCGAGAGAGAGAGAGAGAGAGAGAGAGAGAGGGAACGCAGGTGGGGGGAGTGGGAGAGGGAGAAGCAGGCTTCCCGCCGAGCAGGGAGCCCGATGCCGGGCTCGATCCCAGGACCCTGGGATCATGACCTGAGCCGAAGGCAGTCGCTTAACCAACTGAGCCACCCAGGCACCCCTATCTCCTCTTCTTTATGGGCAGTCAGGTGACACCAATTAGCCGAAACACTAAAGTATTTCTCTAGCACAGAAGCCCGGAACGTCTTAAACTTTCACATATCGGACTAGCCAGAGAGGACTTTCTGTCCTCAGGCAGGCAGAACTCACGGGCCCTGCATCGTGAGTTAACTGGCGATCGCGTCTGGGGTAGAAAGTATGCAGCTTGGGGGCCGGCGTGGTGCCACAGGGGTCCCCGGAGCTTTCTTGCCAGTCGCGAATGGAAGAAGCCCTCTCTTTCTTGTGCACTGCTGAATCCCATCGCCCAGTACGGTGCCTGGCCAAAAGAGGCCATAAGGAGACAAGATGGGCTTGTGTGGTGGTGAGGAGGGCCTGGATTCAACGAAAGGGAAACGAGAGCGTGGCGCAACCTGCAGGGGCCGCTGTACCCTCCGAACGCTCTCCATTCAAAGAGCTAGTGACTGGACGACGCGCCAAGCCGGACTGCACGTGCCGGGAACGCAGCCGTGCCTACGACTGAGGTTCTGTCGAGAGAGGGCAGGGCTTGCAACTGGCGGGAAAGGCAGTCCAACCAACGCAGACTGTACAGGGTGACGAGTTCCACAAGGGAAAGAAAACAGGGCCACTGACAGTAAGGGAGGGCTGGACCGGGGCCTTCTCAGAAGACGGACTGAAGGAGTCCGTTTCCTCGGCCCAGACAAGCCAGGAAGGCGCAGAGTGACGACCGGCCCAGAGCTCAGGGCCTCTCAATCCCGCCTCCCAGGTCGGGCCAGGCCCGCGGAGCGGATTTCAGTCGCGCTCCGCTAGAGCCTCGCCCAGGAGGAGCCGAGCGCCTGCGGGTCCAAGACGCCCTTTGGCGCCCTGGACCAGAGTGGCTCTGAGCCGCGACCCACTCGGGGACGGAAGGGGGAACGCGCCTGGAGGGCAGAGCGAAGCCCCGCGCTCCCCACAGCACGGCACGGCGAGCGGCCCACCGCGGACGTCCCGGCTCCACCTGCAGAGGTCAACCGGGCCGGACCCCGCGGCTGCCGCCCAGAGGCCCGGGGCGGGGCCTCGCGACACCCAAACAAGCCCCACGTGGCAGGGGCGGGGCCGCCGCGGGGACGTCACGGCGCGCGCGTGCGCGGGAGCGATCTGGCGCCGGCGTACCCTTGTGGGGGCCCGTAAAGCGCGGAAGGTCGCGGTCCCCGGCTTTCCCCGGAACTTTTTGCTCCCTCCGCCCCGCCCCTTTCCCTTCCCCGTTCCCCGCGTTCTGGCGCCGGGACCCCCCAGCCCCCGCAGCTGTGTGGCTGCTGCCCCGCTGCCGCCGGGGTGCTGCTGACCGCGGAGCCCGCGGGGGCCCGTCAGGTAAGGAAGACAGCTGCGGGGCCGCTCTGGCCTCCCCTCCGCGCGCGTCTCCGCGTCCCCCGTTCCTCTCTGGTCTCCCTCGGGGGTGGTCCCGTCCGCCCCTCGTTTCGCGTCGCTTGCGCCGAGTCGCCTGGGGACTCCGGCGGCCCGGGCCGAGAGGGGTCCGCCTCGTCTCTGTCAGCCTGTCCGCGGTTGCGCTCCGTCCGGCCGAGGTGGTCCGGGCCTCGGAGACCCGTGCCCGGCCGCCCCGGGGCCTGCGCACCGGCTCCTCAGGGGGCGTCCGCCGGCTCAGGCCGACGTCCAGAGCGGCCGGGGTGACCTCGCTTCGGGCTCCCGGTCTCGGGCAAGCCCCTAGCGCGCATGAGGCCGGTCTCGCCCGGTCTTCCTCCACTGCGGGTGCGGTTGCTTTCCCGCCTGGAGACGTGCGGTCCGCCTGTGCCTCCCTCACTTGTAAGACCGCTGCAGAGTGCGGCGGCCGAGTTACCGGGAAGAGTGTATGTAGGCCCAGGGCCGTGAGCCGACTCGTGATGTGTGACCACTCGGGACCGATGTGAAGGACACTGAGATTAGATTCGGGCACCTGCAAGTGCAGTTTGCCGGTGTGTGTAAGCGTGCCGTACGGGGCCGCGGAGGGAAGGAGGAGGGGAGCCGGGCCACGGGGCACACTTGGCCAGCGCTAGCGATTTGTCTTAATTTCTTCAACTTGTCTGATCAGCTGGTGGCACTTGTTGAGAATTACACACCCAGGACCAGCAGGATCCACTCTCCAGAGAAGGAGCGTGAGCTAAATGTGCTGCTGGCTCTTGTGCTGAGGCAGGTGTGGGAAATGTTGTTAATCGCGCTCCACCCGCCGGGCTTCCTAGTCCCCAGCGGCCCGGTTGTGCACACGCTGTGACCATACAGAGGAGCAGCTCAGAGGGACCTGGAGCTGCCCTCTTGTTCATGTTGGTGGAAGCGGATGTGTGCATACCTAGTCCCGATATCGAGGTTGCTTGGCAGATACTTTTCTTCTCAGCAGAAAAGACTGTAGGGTCATCTTAGCTTTTAAAACATGTAATTTATTTTTGGGGCCCCTGGCTTGTTTAGTCGGAAGAGCGTGTGACTCTTGATCATGAGTTCCAGCCCGAATGGGGTGTAGAGATTACTTAAAACTTAACATGTATATATTTAGGTGTGTGTGTTTATTTTAAATGTGGTTACGACTTTTCTTTCTTTGTTTTTGACATCTTCAGTTTCTTGTCTACCGACTTTCCCTTCTCTGCCGGCCGACTTTGCCTTGGTTTCGCTGCCAAACCTACTTGGGTACTCTGGTGCCTTCCTTTCTTTGTTTGCATCCACTTTAAATCCTTTTTTGTTCTTGTTTGCCCTCACCTCTTCAGTGACTCTTTGAAGGTCATGTTGCACACAGGGTCACAAATCCTTTTCTTGGTTCTTATCACCCTAGGCTTTTTTTTTTTTTTTTTAATCACCCCAAGTTTTTAACATTGTTTATTCCATCTTGAGCCTCAACGGTTGTCATGTGTCTTCTGCTACATTTGCAGTTCCTTTTATCCTGCCAGGGGATGTGCCTTGTGGTTCTGTCCTCACAAGTACCCTTTCTTTACTCATCTGATGTTGTTTGAAAGGTAGGAGGGAGGAAAGATTCCAGGGCAGACTCCGGTGCCAGCCCGGCAGGGTTTGACTCCTGGCTCTGCCCCTCACCGGCATTAGAGAAGCTCGGATGAGTTACTTCTCTGTGCCTCAGCTTCGTCAAGTGTAGGAAAGAAACTTTAGTGTCTACCTCGTAGGGTTGTGAGCCTTAAGTCCCTTGTAGGCATGAAGCGGCATCTGGCCAACTGTAACTGCCTATGAAGATACTACCATTTTCTTTTTTAAAGAATTCTTATATGTGATTTAGATATCCCCTCAAATCTGAGGGCCTAGCCTTGAGATCCCAGAGTCCTCACTGAACTTTCCCCCCCTCTCGTGGGTTCTCTCCTCGCAGCCGTTCGGCAATGTGTATTTCCTAGGTGCCTCCCCTGATTGCTGGGAAAACCATGATCAAGTTATATAATTGGTCTCAGCTCCCAGAGAGCTCCATCATAATAGGAGACTAAAAAGGACCACTTACTGAGTGCTGCTTAGGTGCCCGTTGCCATGTTTTTCCTTCCTGTCTGACCGAGTGTTTGTAGCAACCGTGTGAGGTGGGTAGTCCTAGCTCACGTTATGGATGAGGAGCCCAAGGCACAGGGATGTGGCATAACTTGCTGAAAGAGCTAATGAGAGGTGGGGGGAGGTTTTCCAACCCACGGCTGTCTGCCTCTCTCTCAAGCCTACATTCTCAGCAGGGTGGTTGTGCTGTTTCCCTGATTGGCGAACAGACCGTGACACAGTCCGGGAAGCTCTGTGCTGGGAGAAGTGCAGGGTGTGATGGGAGAACATAGAAGAGTCACCTGACCCCGTGTTGGGGGAGAGGAGGTCTGGTAACATGTCAGATACGCTGAGAGCTGAGGCAGTTACCTTTGGGTGGGGGAGAGTGGCAGGAACTATACTGTTAGGTTTAGAGGAACAGCGTGCCCAGATCCCGGAGGTTTCAGAATCCTGTCCTGTTTGAGGAGTCAATTACAGGTGGTTGCGTGTGGCTCCAGAGAAAGAGAGCAGAGATAAGAAACGAGAGCCAGGGAGTGAAGGATCTTGCCCTTCCTGTGAAGGAGATTGCCTTTTCCTGAGGACATCAGAAAATCACTGAAGGGTTTTAGGCGGGGGCGTGAAACACGATTTGCCTTTGAGAAGACTGGCTCTGAGTCCTGTGTAAGGACTGTGGGGTGTTGGGGAGAACGGTGTACAGAAGCCCCAGAAGTCCCGGGAGGAAGCCTCTGCAGTAATCTGAGCAAGGGTGGCGGCCTGTACTCAGGTAGCTGCAGTGGGAGTGGGGAGAAGTGGGAATGAGGGAAACGTGGCTGTGGAATTGTTAGTCCTCGCTGGTTGGCTGCATAGAGGAGAGGAGAAAGGAGGAGCCCAGGGTAACACCCAGGGTTCTCGAATATGGTGTCACTGGGGGACACAGAAGTGGAGCAGATTTGGAGATTGAGGAGGATGGGTTTCCCTGTTGGAGGTGCCCAGTGTGACCTTCGGGAGCCCAGGTGGACTTGCGATTGTTCTGCTTAGAGGTACAGACGCAAAGGTCGGGGCCGCTGTGGGTTGGGCTCTTGGTCACGGTAGGCAGTGAAATCCCCCTGGAGAGTGGTGGCCCGAGGGGAGAAGCTGGTCCCAGAGCACCGTGAGGGACATGGACTCGGAAGGACGGGCCGGGGAGAGAAGCCAGCGAAGACGTGACCAGGGTGGTGGGAGTCAGGATAAAAACCGGGAAAGAGGGTGTGAGTAGCGGGAGCCATGGGCGATGTGCAGTGCTGCGGAGAGGATGTGAGGTGGGGCCGGTGTCCCCGGAAGTTGGCGACGTGAGCCTTCTTGGTGAGAGCAGCGTTCCTGGCTTGGCGGGCAGAAGCCCAACCGCTCTGCGTTCAGGACAGACTGGAAACGGGGAAAAGGGGACAGATCATGTAGGAAGCCCTTTCCTGAAGGTATTTGTCAAGTGAAAAGACAGGCTGTGAGATCACATTAAGAGTCAGTTCTGGGGGCGCCTGGGTGGCTCAGTTGGTTAAGAGACTGCCTTCGGCTCGGGTCATGATCCCAGGGTCCTGGGATCGAGCCCCGCGTCGGGCTCCCTGCTCGGCGGGAAGCCTGCTTCTCCCTCTCCCACTCCCCCTGCTTGTGTTTCCTTTCTCGCTGTGTCTCTCTGTGTCAAATAAATAAATAAAATCTTTAAAAAAAAAGTCCGTTCTGGCTTGACGGCCGGCAGACTCTGCGGTCACTGAGGAGTAAGGAAAGAAGGACACGGGACAGGCGGCAGCACATCGGGACTGGTAATTTTGTATGATGGGAAATCATCGTTTTAAATTTTATTTATTTACTTGAGAGAGAGAAGGAGCGCAGGCATGTGCGTGCGTGCCTGTGCGTGGGGGAAGGGGCAGAGGGAGAGAGAATCCCGACGTGGGGCTCGATCCCCCCGACACCGAGACCACGACCTGCGCCAAAGCCAGGAGTTGGCTATTCAGGCGCCCTGATGGGAAGTCATTACTGCCTCCTATGTTTGTGCTTTTTGCCAAGACCATAGTTTTTACCATTTAGAATTTTTAAAATGACGCTACTCGAAGACAGTTATGGAGCTTTTGTTCCGTTTCTCTGGTGGGTGGGGAGGACTTGAGCATATGAAAACGCTGAGGGTCAGAGCGGAGCACCGAAGGTACGTGGGAGAGGAGCTGGGTCCCAGGGAAGGAGGGAGAGGGGTCTTGTGGCTCTTGTGGGGCGACGAACTCCTGAGAACTCCTGACCCTCTCAGGGAAGGAGAGATGGTTGTAGATGCAAGTGGGATTATTGGTGGAGTTTCAGGGGATGCGATGAGACAGGTTATCTCCTTTGAAGGGAGGAAGAGAGGGGGTGGGGTCCGAGGTTGGGAGAGGAGGAGTGTTGTGGGTTCAGAACCCGAATGTAGACAGACATCTGCCTGAGGTTGAACCCGCAGTGGCCCCGGGGCTAGGCAGGGGGTGCCTGCTAGCCTGAGCCCCAAAGGAACTGGGCCTTTTCGCGTGTGACCAAGCAGTAATAGTTCTGAAGGAAGGAGGAGGAGGATACTCGCCCCCCCACCCCCCGCGTGGCGAGCTCAGTCGAGTGGGGCTGGCCGTGTGGCGGTGGCCGCTCCCTCAGAAGAGCTGCATCCCCGTGGGGACAGGTGAGACAGTACTGGCGAAGGGCCGGGTGCTTAACTCTGGGAAGGATGTGCTGGAGGGCACGGTGGAGAGGTCTGGAGGGGAGGACCGCAGAGAGAGGGACAGAAATTAGTCACGTGGAGACGAGGTTGCAGGAAGAAGCTTCTGTCTTGAGACCCTTGGACAGGGACCCAGGGTGTGAGGCCTGGTGACTACCGCCAGGTGGCCGAGTCATCGGCCCTGGTTGGGTGGGATTTATCCTGGGACGCGGTGTAGGCCTTGCTCGGTCTCCGTCCTGAGATGCTGTGTGGTGATGGGCAGGCACCCACACCTTGGCCTTGGACAGGTTGGGCTGTTTGGGGCCCGCCGTGGGGCCCGCGCTGGTAGTGGCATGCCGCTGGGCGCACTGTCTGCCGGGGCTCTCCTCTGAAGTCCCCCCTCTCCCCACGCTCGGTGACCCTGCCGTCTCCTGGCAGGTCTGTCTGCGGTTTCCCGAACAGGCCTCTGCTTTGCCGGGAGAGTAGTTCTCCTTGGGCCCGATCCCGTACCCTTTCCCTTCTCTGCCTTAGGATGCTGGTTGTCTCGTAGACACGTGTGCTCGGTCACGGCATGTGACACCCAAGGGTGCGGGATAAGCCCACCTGGACTAACCCTCCCCTGCTTCCGGGAGGAGGCCTGCCGGTCCTTGAGTCTCCCTCCAGCCCGTGGCCTGTGCAGACCGGCGCACGCTGTCCGTCACTGCGGCTTTGGGTCCTCTCTCTCTCTCTTCTCTTCCAGGACCTCGTTCTTTGTCACCACCTCTCCTTCCGGACCCACCTCTTTCCCCTTTACTGGCCCTTCCTGCCAGCCGTGAAACAGTCTCCACGGCCCGCGCCTTTATAGACCAAGAACCTAGCTCTGCTCTCATTCTTTTCTTGCTGCTGCCTGGTTTTTCCACTCCCTTCGGAGCAGAAAGTGAAGGAGTGGTCTGCACTCCCTCATCTCCTCGCTCTGGAGCTTGCTCTGGTCCGGATTTCATCCCGAGCACTCTCCTGGGAATGTTCTCTTTGGGGACACCAAGGACCTCTGTTGTCAAGTCCCAGCGGGCGGACCCTTGGCCGTCCTGCTGCACCCCCGGGCACCCTCCGTAGCGAACCGCTTCTTAAAACCCTTTCCTGTCTCTCTCCTCGGACACCGCTGCCCAGTTCTCTTTCTGCCTCGCCGCGGCTCCTTCTCGGTCTGTTGCACCACCTCCGTTTGTCCGGATGCTCTGTGCGTCTGCCCAGCGCTCTGTCCTCTGTCCGGTACTTTCTTTCTCTTCCCAAGCTGTATCTGCTGGGGAGCCTCAGGGCTCTTCTTGTTCCTTGGCGTGCCGGGTCTCGGATACCCCACGTGTTCCCCTGGCTGCCGGCCTGGATGTCCAGCTGCTGCCTGGCCTTTTCCCGTGCGTGCCCGCCCGGCGTCTTGCACTTGACCTCTCAGAGGGGAACGTTCGCTTGTCTGCGCACCCACGCCTGCACCCCTTCACAGCCTCCCTCTCGCTCCCTCTCCTTCCCCGCCTCCCTCCCCATCCCTAGCCCTTCACACTGTAGTAAGTGGCACCAGTTGCTTACCCCAGAAACTCTGCCATCATCCTTCTCTCTCCCCTTGCCCCATTTTAACGTCCCGTTTGTTGGCAAGTCAGTTCCGTCATTTCACCTCCAGAACCACCCAGCCGTGGCTTTGACTCCACTGCCACCGCCCGGGTCTCAGCCCCCAGGCCCTCCCTCTAGGACTACCGCAGCAGCTGCCTGGCCCTGCCTTTCCTCTCGTTCTCCAGCCCACTCCCCGCCGCCGTGGAGCCTGACTGATCTTGGAAAAGCATATCCGATCATTTCATTCCCCGCTTTAGTATTTTCCTTTGCACTCAGAGCAGAATCCCAGCTCGTCACGATGGCGTCCAAGCGCTGTGTGTCCTTGCTTTCTGCCTCCCTCTCCGGCCTTGTCTTGGGTCCTCTCCGCCTCACTCCTCATGCTGTGGGCACACTGGCCTCCCTTCTGTGCTTGGACTCCGCAGGGTCGGCCTCCCCTCGGGGCCTTTGCACGTGCCTGCGCCTCCGTCCGGAAGACGCATCCAGCTGATTCCTGGTCACCGTCAGGTCTCTTCTCCGATGTCCCCTTCTTCCCGACCATCCTAGTTTACATATGCCTTCGGGTATTCCAGCACACTGGCCTTGTTCCTTGTTTTATCTGTGTCTGGGCCGCCCCTGCGCCCCTGCCGTAGGCGCCCTCACACACACTCAGACATCCGCTCCCTCTCTGTGTCTCTAATGAAAGGTGCATAAAGGCAAGCCCCCCCCCCATTGTCCCCTGCTGTCTCTCCAGCTGGCAGAGCGTCTGGAACTGCGCAGGGCCTCACACATTGGCCGAGAGCATGATTAGCGTTCTTTGGGGCCTCCTCTCCCTTTCTCAGTAATCCTGTGCCCTGAGTACAGTGGAATGAAATCTGGTTGCTTTCTCCGTCTAGTGTGCATGTCGGGGGTCTCCGCCGTAGCCGAGTGAGAGCGCACCGCCGAGCTGCCGGCAGACGTGATGTCTTACCGGTTGCTGTCGGTGGTCCGAAGACAAAGGACCGGCCGAGGATGGCAGAACTGGTCGTCGGGGAGGAGCGGCGCGTCGGCTGCCGAGGCGCATTCTGTCGCCCTGCCTGCCCAGGCGCAGGTGGTCATCTGTGGTGGTGGGATCATGGGCACATCCGTGGCCTATCACCTCTCCAAGATGGGGTGGAAGGATATTGTCCTTCTGGAGCAGGGCAGGTAAGGACCAGCCTGCGTGGGCTCCCCTCAGCCCCTCCCCTCCCGGTGATGTTGTCCCGCCGGTAGCTAAGCTGACTGGCGCCAGGTCGCAGGACAAGAACCACAGACAGGCCACATCCCCTGGACGCGGTTTTGCGATGCGAACCGCCCGTGTTTTCCGGCTTGGACAGAGGTGGCTGATTTCCAGCACACCCAGGTCTCCAGAGAGGGTGCGTTTCATTCCAGGGTCACGGCACACCGCGCCGTCTTGTCCTCTTCGTTGTAGTCACACAGCGACATCAAGCCCGCGGCTCAGGAGCTTCCTCTGTGAGCCGAGATGAAACTGGCTGCCTCCCGCCTGATCTCTGTTCCTTTTCCCCGTTGAACTCACTCACTTGAGAGCGGTGGTAGATTCACAGAACGAACGTGAAGGTAGTGCAGCGGTCTGTAGGCCTGGGTCCCGTGTGCACCTCGGAGGAACATCTTCGGGTGGGATCAAGTAGAAATGCAGTGAATCCGTGTGGATACCTTAGTATTAACTGAAGTTCATGCTCTGTTCAAGTTGTTGCACTTTTCCCCTAATGTCCCTTTTCTGTTCTATTGCCTACCAGAAATTGGATGACCTTTAACACGTCCTTTGTATTTATTTCTGAATAGGCAATACATGTACACGAGTCAGATTGAAAATTGTAAAAGAGTGTGTACAGGGAAAAGTCTGCCTCCCACCCCTGACTTCTAGCTGGAACGTTCCCTCGCTGGAGGCAAGTTAAGTTCCTTGTGTATCGTTCCAGATACTCCCCGAGTCATTATATGAGCAAATCTGTATCGGTCAGTTTGTATATGTGTACCCGGGTATTCGTTTATTATTTTTTTCTCTTTTCTATACAAGTTAGTAGCAAACCTTAAACAGTGTCCCTCCCCTTGCTTTTTTCATCAGGGTTGTTCCGTATTGTTGCATAAAAGCTTTCTCTCGTTCCTTTTTTAATGGCCGTGTAGAGTATCCCATTGTAGAGGGGACCACCAGCCTGTTCAGTCCCGCTCATGTCGGTGGATACGTAGGCTGCTTCCATCTTTTGATATGACAGACGATGCCGTAGTGAGGATCTTTGAACTAGTTGCATTCACAGCTGTGGGAGTGTACCTGATAGCATTTTGGATGCATCCTGCAGGCTGGCTGCTGGCTCTACGCGGTTCTGTGCTGGTATCCTGAGCACCGCCAGGCACTTGACCATCGAGCAGAAGATGGCAGACTATTCCAACAAACTCTACCACCAGTTAGAGCAAGAGACGGGGATCCAGACAGGTAAGCAGGTAATCCGCCATGTACTGGTCCGCCTGTGCCCCAGACTCTGGTGCTCCGTGCCGTGTGTGGCCCGACGCGGCGTCGGCCTGCCGATCTGGTAGTCAGGGCTCGGGTCTTAGTCCGGGCTCTGCCAGTCGCCAGGGTCTGTCCTGGGGCAAGTCTGTGAGCGTGTTGGGCTGTCTCCAGTTTCCCTACCCGCCGAGAGGATTCCGTCCTTACCCCAGATCCTTTCCAGAGCCTGTCATTCTCAGGATAGGAAAGGCTTCCCGGGCCATCTCCTATTATTTCACTCACTGAAGTCTAGCAAGTGGCCACGCTTGGCTCCTGAACGAGGAAGCCAAGGACATGCTTCCGTTTCGGTGCTTGATGGTGAAATTGTGGTCCGACCCGCCGCATTTCACCTCACCAGTTGCTCTGAAGGCCTCTTCTGACTGAGAAGCTGAAACAGAGGTTACCCCTTATGCGTGTCAGCAAGGGAAAAGAACCCAGGGAATCGTGAGCTCAGTACGACCGGAGCAGGTGGAAGGGGAAGGCTGAGCCACGGAAGGTCCCGCACGATCACGAGGTAGAAGCGTGTCTGTCAGCGTGTCGTCAGGTGATGGATCGGCCAGGAGCCCAGGGGCGAGCCTCGCGTCGTGGCTGATGAAACCGTTTGGCGGCCACGGGAAATGTCCTGGGGGAGTAGCGGGGCCTAGTGATGAAATTTAGGACGCCTCCGTCCGTCAGGGTTGCTCTTTGGAAGACCCGCATCATTCAGATCACAGGTAATTCCAGGCTAATCCTGACAAGGATGGTGGCCTGATCTGTTCGCCCACCGAGGCGGCCCTGCCTGGGGTCACAGCGTAAAACGTAGTGGATGGTCGCCTTTGCTGGCCGGCTCAGACTTCATGTGACCCGTGACAGTTTTCGTTGGCAAGGTGAGATTTGAAGTATTGGAAATTCTGATGACAGCCTGAGGTTTTGTAGCATTTCCCTTTCATAGGATTCCTGCTCTGGCGAAGTGTCTCCTTGTGTGTAAGTCCTCGATTAAGACTGAGCGTCTGGGAACTGGGATTGGGTAGCTGTGTTCGTGGAGAGAGGAGATGCCAGGAGAGGAGCTAGAGGAGGGGAAGGAAGGGGCTGCAGCCCTCGAGCACATAAGCAGTGCTCCCAGGCTGGCTCTGCCCCGGCTCGGTGCCGAGAGCGGGCGCCTCACTTGCCTCGCCCTGGTCCCCGCCCAGTGGATGAGCCTGACTTCCCCACGGTCACCTCACACTTGGCCAGGCTTCCTTTAGAGAGGCGAGGACTCTGAGTGAAGATGGTAGAAGGCGTTCCTGCTGCCTCACCACCTCTGGCTTTTGTCAGGGAGGCCTGCTACGTGCAGGACAGGCGGGAGCGAGTCCCTTTTGGTTGGATTTAATTTGAAGGCAACGGGTACTTGGTTGGTAAGCAGAGTTTGAGTCAGAAGAGGGCCCACCTAAAGGGCCCCGGGCTGGAACTGCTGACTTCCTCGTGGTCCCCTGGTTCGGTCCCTAGTGCTTTGCGGAGCCCCGCATTGCTTACCTGCTGGGATGCTAGAGGAACCCGAGTCTTAGGCCTCTTTTCTGTAAGGTAAGTCTGTCTCACTGGAGTTCTGGGTCACCATCTGGAACCCCTTTTTGGGCCTGGCATCTCCTTGATGCTTGCAGGGCAGCGAGGAAGTCAGGCAAGGGAGGGTCAGGGGAATCACCCTCAGTCTGTCACTCCCATTGCAGTTCAGCCGTGGTGCAGTGAAAATGGGATGTGGGGTCCCCCGATGGAGGATTCTGTTATCCGGCAGGACGCGCAGGGGCCGGTCAGTGGACTGCTTTTGAGACATTAAATGAAGACACGTGACATGTGTACAATCTGGATTTCCCGATATTACAACGCTAATCCTCAGAAGACAGTGCATTTATGTGAGGTGTATGTTTGCTCCTTTAATATTCTGACACATCAGTACTTCATCCAGAAGTCCACGCAGATTTTGTCTCTCCAACGTTTCCATTACCTTTTGTTGGTGCTTTTTCTTAACAGTTTATCATATACTCTGTATCATCTTTCATTTTGGTAATTGCTTTTCTGCTACATGTTTATTTCTTAATTTAAAACAAAAATATTTTTAATCATTCGATATAAGTGTATTGTGGAGGGCTCTCTGAATTAGCTCATATAAATAAGTCTGCTTTGGGGCGCCTTGGTGGCTCAGTTCGTCAAGCGTCTGCCTTTGGCTCAGGTCATGATCCTGGTGTCCTGGGTTCGAGTCCCACATCGGGCTCCCTGCTCAGCGGGGAGCCTACTTCTCTCACTCTCTCCCTCTGCCCCTCCCACTCATGCTTGCCCTCTCTCTCTCTCAAATAAATGAGTAAAATCTTTAGTTCATGTATTCTTTTTTAAAGATTTTATTTATTTGACAGAGAGACACAGCGAGAGAGGGAACACAAGCAGGGAGAGTGGGAGAGGGAGAAGCAGGCTTCCCACTGAGCAGGGAGCCCGATGTGGGGCTCAATCCCAGGACCCCGGAATCATGAGCTGTAGGCAGACGCTTAACGACTGAGCCACCCAGGCGCCCCATAAATGAGTAAAATCTTTGAAAAATTCTGCTTTTTATAACTGGAGAGGAAGTTGCCATAGTATGTGCAGTTTTTTTTTTATCCGTTTCCCATTACCTGATGTTTATAGTTCCTTTTTTGTTGTTATAATGATGCAATACAGATCCTTGTCAGTATATATTTGTTTTCTATTGCTAGTTCTAAAGGATAGATTTCTAGAACGTTGATATTTGAGCAAAAAGTGTTCGTATTTTCAACTCTGATAGGTATTGCCAGATCATCCTCCAAAAGAGCTGTCCCCTCTTAACCACCAGCATATGAGAGTGCTTATTTCTTTAGAGTCTTCTCAACATTGTATATTGTTTTATTTTTCATTGTACTTTTTTGTTAAGTAATCTCTATGCCCAACACGAGGCTCGAACTCATGGCCCCGAGATCAAGAGTTGCATGCTCTACCGACTGAGCCAGCCAGGCGCCCCAGCATTGGGTATTATTTTCATTATTACTAATCTGAGAGAGAGAAAAAGTTATCAGATTCCAGTTTGCATCTTTTTCAGTTAAACGTTATTTCATAGGTCTATTGGCCATTCATATTTCTTCTCTGACTTGTTTTTTAATATCAGATGTCTACCTTCTTTTCTTACTGAACTTAAGAGTTCTATTTTATTGCTTTGAACCTGTGATAAAGGAAATTTTATGTCAGAAAGCTCTAGACCAAACTTTACAAGGCCTCTCTGGGAAAACAGTAGAGTGTTACTCTTGTGAACTGGTGATAGGCTTTTGTTATGGCTGGTGGTTCTGTTTGGAAGAGCACGATTTGACCTCATGCATGTGCCATGATGTGTTATGTTGCCTCGTGCCTAGTGGCCCTGTCCTCCCAGGGGGGCTGTGTGGTAGTGAGTGGGAAGTGACTGCTCAAGCCTTTGTCTGCAGGTGAGACTCAGAGTGTGATAAGCCCTGTACATCACTGGCCACGATCACTGCACTGGCCTGGTCTGTCTACAGTTTTTATTTTTTTTAAAGATTTTATTTATTTGTTTGACAAAGACACAGCAAGCGAGGGAACACAGGCAGGGGGAGTGGAAGAGGGAGAAGCAGGCTCCCCGCGGAGCAGGGAGCCTGACGCAGGGCTGGATCCCAGGGCCCTGGGATCATGACCCGAGCTGAAGGCAGACGCTTAACGACTGAGCCACCCAGGCGCCCCTGTCTACAGTTTTTAAAAAACCAGTCTCTGAAATTTCAGTTCTCCAAACGGAGACATTGTTGTCAGGGAAGGGCATATTTACCTGATGATTTCAAAAGAGATGAGAAAAACATTTAAGTGACCCTCCTTGTGCTGCCTTTTAAAAAAGATACCCTGATTGATTCAGCTTTTTCATCGTCAGAACTGAGAGTCACTGCTTGTTAGGAAGATTGTCATTAACCCAAGCACGATCAAGGTTGTGTCAGGTATGTTGATTGCAAAGAGCAGGAGTCGACTCCAGCCAACTGGGGCAAAAAGGAGTTTGTTGGAAGCCTTTTGGAGCCAGTCGAGTTGGCAGGAGGCTGCCAGCTGGAGGAGGCAGCATGGAGGCCGGGCCAGGGGGAACCCACAGCAGGCAGCCCCTCAGGGGATCAGGCCCCATCTGGCCAGGACAGCGCTGCTTCTGAGATGATCGGCCTCCAGCCATTCACCTGCTTGCTCCAGACCTGGTATCCCGGGAGGGTCTGATTGGCTGAGCTTCGGCCACATGCCCACTGGCTCTGGCGGGCGGGGTCCGCCCCGTGCCAATGTTGTGAGTGGCCTGCATCGGGGGTCACAGTCCCACCAAAACCATGGGGGGAAAGATGGGTTTTGGGGTACATTCCCTTCCAAAAGGCTTTGTAGCAGCAGTATCTCTGGTGTTTAAGAGTGATTATTTAAGATGTACATGAAAATCCCACTCTATCCTCCCCAAATCCTAGCTGAGGATGTCTGGATGGTGAGAGTGCCAGGACTCCTCACCGCTCTTCGAACTTGTAGTCTAGTGGGCTCGCCCGCCTGGCCCCTGCAGGGGGCCTGGGCTGCTCAGTCTGGGCTGGTTTTCCTTACAGGTTACATAAGGACAGGCTCAGTCTTTCTGGCCCAAACTCAGGACCGGCTGATCTCCCTGAAGCGCATCAACTCAAGACTGAAGTACGTATGAGGCTAGAAGCCTGTCCCGATGCTCCTGTCAGACTGACCTCTGCCAGAGGGCCATGCATGTCATTGTCCCCTTGTGTTCTGCGGCAGTGTCATAGGCATCCCTTCTGAGATCATCTCCCCCAAGAAAGTCGCCGAACTTCACCCACTCCTCAACGTGCACGACCTGGTGGGGGCCATGCATGTTCCCGAGGATGCCGTAGTGTCCTCTGCTGATGTGGCTCTTGCCCTGGCAAGTGCTGCCTCCCAAAATGGTAAGCAGGTTTCTGGGTAAAGAAGGAAGAGGTTATGGAAGAACGTGTCTCACAGCCGGCAGTGACGCCAGCTCAGCTTCCGTTCTTGAACACTGGCTCTTAGAATTTTGTTTGAATATACTCTCTGTTAATAAGTGTGTTTCCTCAGGGCCACATTTTCCTTATTAAAGTTCTAAGGAACTGCTTTTAGTACTGACCAGTGCACTTCAAGCTTATGGGAATCCCCCCCGCCCCCAACGTGAGAAGCTCCAAGGTCAGAAGACTGAATCCACA